TTGTAAGAAAGATTCTTTAGTACTGAGAATAATGCATGTAGATTCAGCAGGATTAAGGGGTAAACAAGTTATGTACATAACATCGAAATAATAAATATTTTTTTGTGGAGTACCAATTTATATTTTCTTATCATAATATTTCACAAATTGTGTTGCATATCGAGAGGGCATAATGTATTTCAGAAGAAGAAAAAAATAGTTACACATATACTCGTCTATCATCCCACGTTAACTACCATCTTTTTTTCTTCTTCATATCCCTAAAAGCATAACTCTACAACAAATTTTAAAAATACTATACAACTTATTTGTAAAACTTAATTCCGGAACTTATGTTGATCGAGGTGAAATTTCAATTTCGGAAGGTAAAAACTTAGAGTGAATTAGAATTCGATAGATAAGGGTACTTAGGTCAATATTTTTCTATTTAATGAATGGCAAAGACAAATATTGAACACCTAAAATACGAGGGATAAAAATTAAACACCAATCAATTTTAACGACAATTTGTGCAGAAACATGTATCGTGTTAGCTCCGGATGAAATGGGCCAACTCATGGGCTTCACAACTTAGCAAATGAAAATTAAATCTAACACTTGGCCCAGTTAAGGTCTGGACTGGGCTTAGGGCAAATGATTGGGTTCCTATTTTGGGCCTAATGAGGATGGGCTTAGACAAGAGAATAGTGGGTTATATGAAATTACCATTTTATTGACGAGGATTCGATTTCACACCTTATGATCTTTTTCCCATTTCCTACCCCCACATTTTAAAAACTAAATAAATTAAATTTACATAATTTATATTATAATGGAAGAAGAAACTCAATAGTCAATAGGACATAGCATTGGCTAAGACATAATAATAAAAACTTATCGGTATTCGAGGTTTATATCAGATTATACTACTTTATAATAAAAATGTATGTTAAGATACATGTCAGATATTTATTTGAATTGATATAAACACTAAATAACGATTCGTTTTATAAGATACAATAGTAATATTCAAATTTGTATGAAGGAAAAAATGTTTTTAAAAAAAAAAAATTATTTTTATGACAGATTTATCAATAATGTTCATGAATGCTTTCTCTCCTAGGTACTGTTTATGAATATAAATATTGATTAATTATAATCAGATCTAGGTCGATCCACTTATAATTAGTGGAAAATACTTTATGAGCTGTGTTGATATCTTTGCTTTAACACCAAAATGGACATAGCGTGTAAAAAATATTTAATTAATGTCACTCATCAGATAGGCTAATTAATAAAATTGATTTTCAAATTTTATTCGGGAGGGACTATATATATTCTGCTCTGTCATATATATTCTCATGTTTATTTTAAATCAATATTATTATTTATTCTTCATTCTATTGTTGTTAGTATTTTTTTACAATTTTGATTATCTTTAATATTTAAGAAAATGGCTTAATATACTTTTTTAACTTTGTCATTAAAAATTAATATATAAAATCAACTCACGTATATTTTTATCATTACACAAATAATTCCATTATATCTTTTTCGTTCAATAGAAGTAAAAATTTCAATCATAAGTTAGTTCTTTTGATAGTTTATTTTTAGAAACAATCCATATATATTTAATTACGTACATTTACACAAATTTCATAGTATTATTAGCTAATTACATTATATCTCTATTCTTTTTCAAATTACAAAAAATCCTTAAATTTGGTGAAATCCGGATACATCCCGATACATCACTTCTTTGTTTTGAACACATCCTTCAACATACTGATATTGTCCTGATACCTGGCGTAAAGTGATGTATCTGACTGATACATCGCGTAAAGTAACATCATGATACATCGCATACATCCCGATACATCATGTAAAATAGGGATTTTTGTAAAAAAAATAAATGCTAAGAAATTTTAAATAGTAAAATAAGTTGTGTATTTAGGTGATTTTTATTTTTTATTTTTTCACATACATAAAAAAAAAATTAAAACCTTTTAAACTTCTTTGATTCAACGGCTAAATTGAACTACTTTTTTTTTTTACTTTTATACTAATTGGGTGCTATTCCTTAATTTTGCTTGTACGATCAAATATACTCCTATATAATTTCTGCTAGACGAAAAAATATAACGTATCTGAGTTTTATTTATATAATAACAATAAGAATATACGTGAGCCACATTTTTAACAAGGAATTCATCAACTCTAAATAGTATTGACATATATATCAGATCTTTTTTTCTTAATATTTTTTCATCATTACATCTCCCTCTTGCTGGAAAACAATTTTTTTAAATCAATGGTTTATCAAAAACAACTTTTTTACGTTTACAAAAATAAAAATAAACTCAATTTATACATCAATTTTTTCGAACCTCATTTATTAAATTACACCAAATAAATTGTCGTTAGCATAGTTGTAACTTTGTCATATTTCTCCATGGCTTTATTTGCTTTGTTTTCAGTGCTTGAATTAATTAATTAAATTTATTCTTTTGTTATATGCCGTAGCTGTTGTGATAGGTACTGGCTCTATCTCAATTCAATAAAAAGTTAAAAATTCAGAAGACGACAATTCAATGACTCCAAAATCAGTCAGCTTTTTCTTTATTTTAAATCATTTCTCCATGACCTGTCTTTCATGTGCTCTTCCAAATGCACTTTCTTTCAAATTTCTACCCATAAATATATTTTATAATACAAAAAAATAATATAAAAAGTACAATGTTCACTGTCATACACCAAGAAATTATCATAAATATTCATATAAAGGGAATGTTTTTTCTTCAATTTACCATAGGGAAAAGGTGTAAATATTAATTTTTCAATCTAGAGCAGATACATTCTTTGGTTTAAAAAAATAGGAAAATTATACAGAATAACAAATATTTAGCCTATATTTAGTAATATAGCTATAGTTTAAGAGAATTGTAATTTATGGTTACAGTTTCCCCAATTTTTGCTATTCGTCTTATTTGTAGTATTCGTTTGATTTGTATAAATCTAGAATTTTATATATGCTTACTCTAATTATTTGTATACGATTTATGAAAACTTCATAATAAATTATCGTGTTTGTCGATTGACAAACGAAATATACAAATGGAGTTCTGAAAAATTTCTAATTGTATAAATACAAAATTTGTATATATACTTACTCCATTTGTATATTCGCAAGCGAAGTATACAATTAGGCATAAACAAATTGCATATTCCATAACAAACTGAACTATAGATATGTAGCGCAATTATCAAAACTATGGCTATAAGGCATTTTTATGTCTATTATATTTGCTATTTCTAAAATTTTCTCATATATACTCCTGTCGGCTAACAATTTATTAACATATCTATATTTACTTAATTACAAAATGTATAATTCTGACCTTTTAATTAAAAACTTTCACAACTTTTAAAGATTATTTCACCTCTTTTTTACACCTTTAGATCCGACCAATCCAAATGGAAAAAAAAAATAATTCCTAATAGATGAAGAATTGATATTTTTTTTAAAAAAAATGGGTTGGATTTGAGTACGTAAAAAATGAATGGAAGTCAAGTGACATTTTTAGAATTTAAAAATCGATTTTAATAATATCATACACCAAGAAATTATCAAAAAATTCATGTAAAGGAATGATTTTTCTTCAATTCACAATAACAGGAAGAGGTTTTTGATAAGTTTTTTTCAATAATAAGAATTAGTTATATTTTCTTACTTACTTATCAAACATTAAAAAACAATAGATTTTACACAAATTTCATAGTATTAAGAGTTAATTACATTCTATCTCTATTTTTTTTTTAAATTGTAAAACCCCCTTAAATTTGGTGGAATGTGATATATCCCAAAATGTTTCGATACATCGCGTCTCAATTTTGGATATATTGCTCAACGTCCTGACACATCATGTATGTCCCAATACATCGCGTACGTCATGATATATCGCGTAAAGTAATGTATCCAGCCGATACATCGCACTAAATGATGTATCCGTCTGATACATCGAATAAACTGTGTAAAGTGATGTATCCGACTGATAGATCACGTAAAGTACCGTCTTGCTACATCGTAAAGTGATGTATCTAATCGATACATAGCGTAAGGAAATGTATCCGACTAATACATTGCGTAAAGTAGATATTTTTGTAATTTTTTCAAATGATATGCAATTTTAGAAAATAAAATAAATTAAGTTGTGTATTTAGATAATTTTTTCCTAAAAAACACAAAACCACTTGAATACCCGAAAAATATTTTTTAGGAAAACATTTTGCTTTGAACCAAACGACCCCCATAATCAGAGGCGGAGCCAAGATTAGGAGTTTGGGAGTTTTAAATCAATTTATTTCGGGGTTCACAAGTTAATATACATATATTTATTTAATTTTCTAATACAAATATAAGGTCTACAAAAAAATTTGTGAATTCGTGTGAACCTATGATTCCCACCTAGCTCCGCCTCTACCCTAATTCTCCACTTTTTCAACTACTATATGATGGTGAGCTATACATAGAAGCTTTTGATCATTGAGAAATCGAGTGTCTCTGCAGCTTTTTTTTATTTATATATACTCTCTCTTCATTGCTAAATCATATCAAAGAGAGAATTAAATTATATTCAAATGAAAATGAAGTGTTTGGAATGAAGACTGATCCAAGATCCTTCCATTTTATTTATTTTTCTTCTCTTTATTCATATTTACAATACATTTTTCGATCTTCTTTGATATATTTTTCTTTGAACCGAGGATTTATCACATATAATCTCTCTGTCTCTAATGATAGAAGTAAGGTCTGCGTACGCTTTACGCTCTCTAGATTTTCACTTGTGAGATTATATTGAATATATTGTTATTATTGTTGTTTTCATTTTTACAATATCCTTCTATTTTGTTTTTTGTTCTTATTCTTTAACCTTTTTTTTTTGTGTTTGGTTCTTGATTTATTTTTTTTGTTCTTCAATATCGTCCAACTTATATTTTTACTAGATTTTTTTCTCTTTTTTTTTTTTTTTTTTTAATTTAGTGATACAAATATATAATTAATGGAGTGATCTCGGACCAGGCTTCATTCCTTACACTCATTTTCTATCACCTCAAACAAACAGCTCCTTGTAAATCAAGATAAGTACTTTTATTAATATCTTTTTATGTTAATTACTAGCACTAATTATTATCGTTGTTTTTATTTTACACGTCTCTTAATTTTTTACTCTATAAGGTTAGGGTTTTATGTTTTTAAAGTTAGTATCTTTGATTACTCTCTACTTTCATAAGACAAGGTAAGATTGCGTACAAACCTCTTTCTTCAGATCCTATTTGTAAAATTTCACTAAATATGTCATCGTTATAATTAGTTGTATCTTTGATTAGAATCTAGAACACTACTTTTCATGTGCTACCATAGAACTTCTATTTTGTTTATTTGTTGAGATATAAATATTTTTAATTAGGTCAAATTTGGTTTAGGGTTTTCTTTAATCGAAGTCCAGAACTATATATACATGTATTCATATAAAAGTTTATATTGTTATAATTGCAGTTCTTGCCTCTTTTAGATTTACAAATGAGAAAGAGATTAAAATCTAAAACTATTAAAGGTTAGTATCATCCAAAATAATCTCTCTTTCTTTTACTATACTAAACTAATTGGCGATTATTATTCAAGCTATAGAAATAGTCTCTAGCAGAAATGTAAAATAAAGACTATATACCAAGTACAATAGAGTATAGAATAATATAATGTTTTAGGTTAGTGAATGTCCTCTAATTCATAGGTACTAGTAAGACAATCTTAAAAGTATTTCTCACACACCTAATTAATGAAATTATTGTCCTTTTTCATAATTTCAATTGTGCATGGTTGTATTGATGGATTTGTATATATTATATGAGTCAAAGGATTTATGAACAAAAGAAAGAGTTGCATATGCTTAACACCTTGTTTGAATTGTTGTTAGTATTGTATTGTATTGTATTGTTAATTATAATACGATGTTTGTTTTGATTGTTCCTTAAATTTTATTGTATCGTAGCGTTTAAATTTATCGTTAGATAACGACGAATAGACTCGTTTTGTGTAACGACCGGTTTGGTGTGATCGCGTCGTTACCTTAATATTAATTTTCTTTTCTAATGTTATCTTAATTTATTATTTAAAAATCATATTTCGTCTTTTATCCTACTTTTTAATAATAGCTTTACTCCATACCTTACTTTTCTTTGTAGGTTTATCACTCAAATTATGGATGTGTGATATTATGTAACGACGAAGAATGATTCATTCTATCCAACCAATGTATTCATTAACACAATACACGAGGCAAACACACAAGTTGTTGAAATATGAATTGCACCAAAAGCAAAGCAATGTCATTTCAAGCCATTATATTGCTTTTAAAACAATTGCAAGTAAAATGTAATATATTGTTCAAAGCTATAATAAGCAAGGTAATAGTTCTAATTTAAACTCCAAAACTAATAATTATTAATAATAAATGCAATATATAGAAAATAAATAACATATAATAATAAGATTATGAATTCGAGTCATCGAGAGAGAGTTAAAAGGTGAAAAATCCCGAAAAGGGGTTAAAATCCAAATATAAACATATATTAATAGGGCAATTTTTTCTTAAAAGAGAAAATTACGTGTATAAGCAAACATATATTAGTTAATTAGTTAACATAGCTATAGTTTGCCTTAATTATAATCCACAACTCACTTTTAGCTATAATTACGCGGCTTAACTTTTTATTTTTGTATAATTCGCACGTTTGTATAATTCGGAATTTGTGTAATACAATTTGTATAACTTTTGTATAATGTAATTTTGTATAATATAAATTGTATAACTATTTACTCTTCAGATGTTTGTAATTGTATCAATTCGTTATTTCGAGTTTATACAAAAATAACTGAATTATACAAATGTACCTGCAAATTATACAAACCTGTTAATTATACAAACGAGACAGCTTAAACTGTAGCTACAACCCGTAAATATGTAAATTATAGCTATAGAACATAATTAAATTTATTATTATGGCTATTTCCGAAAGTTCCCTATTTAAAATCCACCATTAGCAGTGAATCCACCATCGGCCCATATAATCTGGCCCGTTATATATGAAGCCGCAGGGAAACAAAGGAAGGCTATTAGGGCCGAGATTTCTTCGGGCTTTCCGATCCGGCCCATTGGAGTTCGAGAAATATATTTATCTATTTCTTCTTTTTGTCAAGGATTTTTCTGCAATAAAGTAGAACATTAAAAAAAAAATAGATATAAAAAAATCAATTATTTTAATTATAACAAAAAATATTTATTTTAGAGAATTAAAGTGTTTGGTCTAAGATTTTAGATTAAAAAAGTACCAAAAGGAAAAATGTTAGAATAGATATCGTTCCAAATAGTTTATCAATATGATCAAAATATACACAATATATATATTATGTGTATTTCAATCATGTTAGTAAACTAGATTTTTTCCCGATATTCATATGAGAACCCGACAAATTCAAAACTTATTCAAGAAAATATTATTTATTAAGGATTTTTTTCATACCTATAGCTCGAAATCGAAACTTACGCTTGCTGCTTCAATGAGTGGAGTTGAAATTAATGCTGGTGCAACTGAATTAACACGAATTTTGTCCTTGGCCCACGCACAAGCCAAATTCATCGTTATTTGATTTATTGCTCCTATAAAAATAAATAAAATGGAAGTTTTTGGGAGTTTATAGTTTTTTTTTTAACTATTCGATATCTATAATTAATTTTATTAATTCAAATTTATATCAAGTAAGAAACCTATAATTCCTTATAACTAAAACATTACAGTAACTACTTCAATATGTATGGTCCCCTTGTTGTTTCAATTTATGCGGCGGTGTTTGAATTTCGAAACTAAGCCCTTTTTTATTAACTGTAATTTTTTCACTTGTCATTTAAAGTTTAAATATTTTTATAGTATTTTTATATGATTTTTAAATTATAAAAAAAAAGTTGAGACTCCACTAAAATTGGAATCATTTATCGATGCACACCTGAATTAATTTATTTCTTAGTTACCCCATGAAATTGGTTTTTCAAAAGATTGACCCTTCAACCCGACCCATTTATTAATAGACCTCATTGATGTGTACATGGAATTAGTTAAGGTCGAGGGGTCAAGACTTTCGAAATACCAACTTCAAAGGATCCCAAGGTTATTTCTATTTCTAAATATATAAATTTCATTTCAAAAAAGATTCCATATTCATATTTAAAATTTTTGACTATCCAAATTCAGATCCGTAACAAACAACAACAATAATAATAATAACATACTCAGTGAAATCTCAATAAGTAGGGTCTGGGAGGATAGAGCATACACAGATCTTATCTCTATCTCATAGAGGTTGAGAAACAGTTTTCGAAAGACCCTCGGAAAAGTAAAAATGATGAGTAGAAAACATTACCTTTAGAAGCAGAGTATAGAGATAGAGAAGGCATGGCTGAAAATGTAGTAGTTGAAGAAACAAAAATAATATTTCCATTTTGAGAAGCCTTCAATAATGGATGAGCAATTTGAGATAAATGATAAGCAGCTTCAAAATTAATTCCCATAATTATGTTGTAATCTTCTTCCGTATAATCTTTAACTTCCTTATATATAGCTACTCCTGCATTATTTATCTAATTAATCATGAACAAAGTAAAATTAGTCAAACAATTGTAACGACTAATTATAACTCCATAAAAGTATAATTTTATTTCTTAAACTACTAGCAAAATAAATTATTTCACGGCTAGAAAAATGTAAATTTTCAACGGATGTTCCCATTGGAAAACCATAGTCATAAATATATTGGGATTTTGAACGAAAAATCTGTTAGAAACATTTTCAATAAGTCAATTATCAAGCGCTTGACGAAAAATCCATCAGAAACATTGTAGATAAGTCGATTGATTCCTGACATATTCCTTCAAAAAAAAAATGTTAGAAATTCTCTTGAAAATCATGATTTTTTGACGGAAATAATTTTCCAAAAGCACATTTTCGATGGATTTCGTTGGAAATGTGTTTCCTAGTATGTGTGGTTTGATATTTTTGAAAAAAAATAGAAGCTCAAATACGAGATTTTTGGCTAAAAATGAAGGAATCTTAATCATCCCACCACAATCCACCATCTGGCGAGTCGGAATTATAATATAGATGAATCAAACAAAAGTGGTCTAACCAAAATATTGAGCTTTCCATCAAATACATTTTCAATAGTCTTCATAAGTTTTTTGCGTTCAGTACGAGATAATAAATCGCAAACAGAACCTTCAACTTTAAGTCCTTTTTTTCTCCAAATTTCAAGGCATTCTTGAAGTTCATTTTCATTACGTGAACATGTATATACTCTTGCTCCAAAATTTGCCAATTCTTCCACTATAGCATACCTAAAAACAATTACAACATCACGATGACGATAAATCAAATGATCACAAAAGAAAATTATATACTTAAAAAATATAATGTTTTAATGTGAATTGGCCAATGGTTTAAGTGGGGCCTGGAAAAGACAGAGTTTATGTAGACCTTGCTATTATTTCGAGGAGTAAAAAGACCATTTTCGAAAGACCCTCGACTCAAGTGCATCAAATTCAAGTAAAAGTGAAAGAAAACATGAAGAAAGCATAGCAATAGATAAAAAGTACAGTATAAAATCTACGAGAAAGAAACGATAACAACAACAAAATAGTGTGATAATTGAAAACACAATAAACAACATATGACAAGCACTACAAGGGTACGGTTAGTACTATGACAAGCATCAACAAGATTAAATATTTGCAAGACTAGATAACTCTCCACCCCTACTAACCTTCTACCCCAATATCAACCTACATATGAAAAAATAATATAAAGTATATCAACAAACAAAACTGCGTAGCTAAACAACAAAATATTCATTCTTATCCCAATTTGGCTATGATTGGCGACATGTTATAAGAAAATTCAATCAACTAAGAATTTTTTAACAACGAGTTAGCTAGAAATTACCGATAAATTCCGTAGCTGATTTCAAAAGATTTATAGGGAAATTTTAAAACTCACCCTATGCCTTTGGAGCCACCAGTAACAAGTGCAGTGGTGCCTTTGAGACTCCATTTTCTCTCAATTTTTCCTCCTTGTTTCTCAATTGTGCCATTTCTGGTTTATTTATTTATTATTAATATGATATTGTGAAAAATCTTAAAAGTAAGGTAAGGTTTGGAGTCACTTTGTATATATACGAAGAGAAAATGGTTTCATAGCGTGTGTGAACGGTTCACATTGATTTATATCTTTACATCGATTCAATAAATATCTATACGGAAATAAAATCAATCTATAAAATCATGATTTGTTCAACCTATTTCAATTTGTACAAGTTAATTAGTCGCTTATTAGACTCTAGCATAAGCATAGGAAATAAACTTTAATGATATTGACTATTGAGAATGTATTTTCTTAATTCACAAAAGTTAAAGCATTATTGGCTATTACACTAATAATTAACTATACATATTTAAGATTTAATTTATATATATCGTCCATATATATAGCATTTAACCATAAATTCTCAAATATTTTTAATAAGCTATTTTTGAGTGAAGTTTAAATTTAACTTACGTCTAACCTTCCACGTATTTGTTCAATTTCAGTAACAATATGTGGTTGTCTATAAATCAGGTTTGAAATGATACCTCAAGAATTGTCCTTCTAATTTGTGGATGTGAATCAATTACGTAATTAATTTGGATTGAATGATTATAATTAAGTTGCAATTTGTAATGGGACTGTAGTAAATGTTGAAGATTTTCAAAGAATTAGATATAACATGCTTATTATATCATTTTTTAATTATTAATTCAATGGAGTGAAAAAATCAATAAACTTGACAGTGCACGTAACTTAAAGTCATACTACATTAGTAGTAGTATTAAAATATAGTTTCTATAATTTTCTTAAATAATGGTGTAAGCAGATAAATGTCTTTTTCATGTCATTAATCTTTCAAAATCCTGTGAAATAGTTTGTTATCTAAAAAAACCATGATTGTTCATCATTGATAATTTGATTTGAAAATAAAAATAATCTTTGCTTTATAAAGATATACTCCCCCGTTTCGATTTAACACGAAATAAAAATGTATGTTGTAAGGCTTTTTTTGGCAACATGAGCCTTACAATATATATTTAATTAACGTCATTTGTCCCTCCATTCAAATATTGCCCTTTTAGAAATTTTGTTCAATTTTTGTGCCTTTTTGAGCCATTAGCTAGCGTTGGTGATTAAACTAATTGACGATAATTTTTTAAATTTTAACTTATACATACCGATAGTTTATAAGCTTAGGCTAGCTAACGTGTTATCAATTATGTCTATTTCTAATGTGCCTATTAAATTAAGTGACAACATGTGGTGGCTATAAAATAGATTTAATTACAAGCA